TGCAGTATTAGAGTTACTGGTGACACAATCTCTCGGCCAATACTTCTGTATCTCTTGGCATCTAGGTTCCAACCTTCTTCAGCGGCAACTATTCCAAGACTGACTGGGCGAATGAATTCAACCCCCTTTTATACCCTCGGCCGCTGCTATGCAAATGAGCCTTTGTCATAACCGCGGAAATGCTGCTTTGTTGATTCCACGATTCCTACGCAACGACCCATTGTTATTGCGTTGTCTCTGTGGGAACACTCCGCGTATTCGTCATAACCATGGAGATTCGATACAGTATCGCTATTGTTACTTCCTATGAAACGGTCTGTTCTAGCGTTTCCATAGGGGTGACTCTTCTGAATTCCAAATTCCAATTCTGTTTTTCAAAAGAAGCATGTTTTTACCTGTCACAGATGTGACATCTATATAATAGGTATATAAAAAGACGCGCATTCAAATGCAACGTTGTGTCAAAATTTCGAAGCAATCGGTAAAGAACTTTCGGAGATTTAAGATCCAGAACAAGCGAACATTTACATTTTTATTTATATAGATTTATTGTGCTCTTATGCCAAGTATTTTAATATAATTAATATTATTGTATCCAAGGCACTCTAGGCATGGATGATTGTGCATTTATTCTGTGTTTGTGTTGTCCTGTGTGTAGGTAGTGGCCTTGCTACAGGCTGATCACTCATCCAAGGAGTCCTGCCGATGTGTAAAAAAGATTACGAAACTGAAGAAGAGGCCAGGGCCCAACTAGGGGCTGCTGTACAGCCACTGATGAATGAATGAGTGAATCTTTGTACCCATGCATAATCCCATAAACGAATATACTGGATGTTGAGAAAAACCTTCAGACATTCTTAACCATGGTATTACTCACAAATAAGCAGTGTTACCCTTATCCTTAGGGAAGAGACCACAGTGCAGTTTGGACGGAAGGGGTGGTCCCAGACATTCTGAAAACGATAACAAGAAGAAAAACCTTTCCTCCTGCAGTTCAATCTGTAGCCCAATAATTGGCCAATAGATGTAACTGCAATACTAACAAAATGACAAGTTACTCACCTCCAGATGAGAAACACCCAAATCAAATTCCTTTTCACTGGCAAGTGTTTCCATCTGTCTGTATAATTCTGCTATTGTTAGGTATGTTATTCCTGGAGATGTCTTTCTTCCCAGCATTGTGAATGTCTTTCCAGCACCAGTGGCTCCATATGCAAACACTAAGCATTGAATTCTAGTTACAGGTCTATCTTATATGATGAAAGTGTAAAGGAGACATTCTATAAAGTTACTATTATAACTGGGGTCATTGCTTCTGGTAACACATGTTGAATCCACTGAAGCTACTCATTTTAAGTACAGAATGTGTGCACTTGAGTTGAAACATAGTAACAATTTTTTCTATGACCTACATTTCTACATGTCTGCATATCTGAGCACATCTGCTGAGTTTGACTGCATGAACTTATTTAGTGAATTATAATTAGTTTCATTTTGGTTTGGAACAGAATTTACACTTAACAAGCTAACATAATTTTGTGTACAATTGGAAATAGGGTATCATGGCATAAAAACTCCATGCATTATGTTCGAGGCAAAACGAACCAAATTTCTTGCCCTCTCACCCTTGTGATCAAAAAATGAATGAAAAAAGAAAAACACACAAATATAGGAATTATATTCACCTGAGCAATTATAACCATCCAACAAAGATCTGACTATGTCCTTAGTACTGCCTTCAAATACATCGGCATTTGAAGAGTCACATCTAAATACTCGGTCAAATTTGAAATCCAACTCTTTGTTCGGTTTCTTCTGTAGATCTCTACAGTTTTGTTTTGATCCACGAAAGAAGAATGGTTGTGTTTCCTCTTTTCCATCAAATATCAGTGTGTTTTCATCTATCACTTGTATGACAGACCTAAAATTGAAGACATTATTGTTTCAAAACACACCACAAAAACACTTTCATGAAGTCTCCATCTTTCATTTGAATTTCAAGTTTATAAAGCTTTTATAGTTGTTAACTTCCTTGTGCTATGTATGAAAAATTAAATTCTTTTAGGGGTTATTTAATGGCACTTTCAGATGACAAATATATAGGTAGGCTCATAGGATGAGTGATAAATGATAAACTGAAAAGGACATGAAAGTAATTGAGCAGGTCTAATCAAGGTACTATCGTGGCACCTGCCTGGAGGGACTGAGAAAACCTTCAAAACTTCTGTCAGGATAGATACAACTCTGAAGCATTACTCTGAGATCAATCTGTTCAGTAAAAACTTACTGTTCTGCTGCTTCAGTTTCAAACAGCTAAAATAAAAGATCTGTGACAAGGAGAGAAAGGGCACTATCTTTAGAAAAGGGATAAGCTTGCGTACTTCTGTTAGGAATTTGACCCATATGTGATTGTCAGAATTTAGAGAATCATTTGTAGTTAGCAGGGTACATGTTTGCATGGTTGAGGCACTATGCTACAAGCCAGAAGGTTGCAAGTTCAATTCCCGATGAGGTCACTGGATTTCTTTTAATTGACCTAATCCTTCCAGCTGCCATATGGCCCTGGGACCAACTCAGCTACTAACAGAAATTAGTACCAGGAATCTTCCTGGGGTTAAAGGGCAGCTAACACATAAGACTAACAACCTCACCAGCATCTGTGAGCCAACTGTTTAGAAAATGTGGGAGCCTTGGCATCTCACAACCCTGTGAGCCTCCATGGCCAATTACAGGAATAAATTTACCTTTTTATCATTTGTACAGAAAAATCCAGATTGTAAAGGAAAACTAGAGTAATCATTTTCAACCAACAGAAAACCCATTTTAAGTTACTGACTGCAAGATAATTAATATGTATTTGAAATCAAGAAACATGGACCATAAGGAAGCACTATGGCATAGATTAGGGCATTACAATATTTTCAAATATACTTCTGTGTCAATGAAGGTTTTGTACTGGGAAATTTGATAAATAAGGAAATAAAAAGGTAAAAGTAAAGTAAAGCTATCCCTGTAACAGGCCGTGGAGGTCCATAGGGTTGTGAGATGTTGAGGCTCCCTCATTTTCTAGACAATCGGCTCATAGATGGCGGTGAGGTTGTCAGCCTTATCCGCCGGGCACCCTATACCCCCAAGAATATTCCTCGTACTCATTTCTATTAGAGGCCGAGTCAACCCTAGGGCCATAGTGCGGCTGGAAGGATTAGATAAATTCAAAATATCCTCCTCATTGGGACTAGAACCCGCAACTTTCCAGCTTGTAGCATAGTGCCTCAACCAACTGCACTACCATAGTCCTAATCTTCACATATAAACTACAGTTTAAATTGCCTGTACTTATGTATGTAACCTTTTGACTTGTTCTGTATCCAAAGGTACTAACCTACTTAGGATTTATAGAATGTAAATAAATTCAATTCAATTCAACAGTTCATCCCACAACATTTAAGAGATGAAAGAACAGCTTCAGAACAGACAGTAGATTGGATCCAGCAGAACAACACAATCTGCATGAATGTTATTCAGCTTAGCAACTACTTAGAATCTCCTTGAGGACTAGTGCCTTATCGTGGAGAGGAAGTCTGCATGCTCCAATGTCGCAGTGGTCTGTGCTGGAAGATGCATAATCTCCTGGTCCTCCATACTGGTGGTTGGGCTAACAACCTCAACCCTGAAATATCTACTGTTATGAAACTCCCAGAGCCTATGAAGGAGACCAAGACCCACACATGGTTATAGCACCAGTAAAGGAGGAGGAGGAGGAGGAGGAGGAGAGGAAGAAGAGGATGAAAATGAGGAGGAGAGGAAGAAGAGGATGAAAAGAAGAAGAAGAAGAAGAAGAAGGAGGAGGAGGAGGAAGAGAAGAAGGAGGAGGAGAAGAAGGTGAAGGAGGAGAACTGTTTAGGAAGGAGACTAACAAATAAGAAATTATATTACTATTCTTACTGTTAATAATGACAATTAGTTTTAGTTACAATTTTCAACAACATCAGAGAGCACATCACTTGTCAGAATTGCCCACACACTCTTCCTTAACCAAAGTTGCTTCTTCTAGCATTTTCGCTAGCAAGCAGACAACAGCGAAGTTGATATCGAAGAGACAGAATATGTAAACAGTGAGTTAACTGCTAAACAGTAGCTTCCACTTCATGTTTCTGCTTTATTTTTTTTCTAACCAGTGAAGATCACCAAGCTTTTGAAGCATTGGCTCCATTTTCAAAGTCAAACAGTAAACTGAGCAAGCAGAAATTTTACCAAGCTTGTTGCTTGCTTCACTTATTATTTGAATCTGAAGGTGGAATGGACCTGAAATATTAGTGAACTGCTACACTCAGCTTGCTTTGGCCCTGAAGATGAAGGCAGTATGTTCCTCCGAAACATTGGTGAAATTTTATCACATCCCAGGAGACAGTCCTCTTCAAGGAGACAAATGTTGTATATAATCAGCAGTAATATTACTTGAAAGCGTATACTACCAAACATTAGTGGAGGGGTAGGGGTGATTTTTTACTCTATTTCCCAAAAACTGAGGGTTGAATTGTAGAATGTGTTCCCCATTCTTGCACTATTCCTTTCCATTCACACATGTAACTATTTTCATTGATTATCTTCCATCATTTGGTTAAAGAGTCTCACTACAAAGTATGAACAAACTACACGTACTATTTAATGAGATTTCACATTATAACATACTTAATACGAAACAAAAGATATCACGGTAATCCTACCTGGCATTATCCTCCAGTTCATTTGCATTTTGTGGACGCACTCTGACAACCACTCTCATGCTTGAAGTTGTCTGACTTCCAATACGTCCACCATTATTAAATTTGTTCAGGCTTCTTCTTTGTCCTCCTGATCTGCGATGCTTATGTGGTGAAAATGCTCTCTCCAAATCCCTTCTGTTTAGTACCATTTTTATTAAAGTTTTCTAAAATGAAAGCAATAAACAATTCTTTGAGAGTATCCTGCACTGGTTCTATACACACTACATACCATTTAACAATTTCTCTTAATCAGCGTGGAGACAGGCTAGAGGCTGAATGACTTGGATTTGATTAATAACTCAATCAAAACGAAGACAGCACACACACACATACCCAGCAGTATAACACACGCAGTCACAACACAAAGCACAATACACACACGAAAGTAGGCAGAATACTCCGATAGAAGAAGATAGGTGTGACTCGCGTATTGAGATACGACATAAGGATGACAAATCCTGAACAGTTTTAATATTTTTAATATTTAAAATTTATCAATATATATGATGAATATATATTTTAGTATAAAGACAACAGGGCATGCAATGAAGTAGTTTGACGTACATCGAAAAGCACCTGAAGATGGCACTTTTGTGCTGAAACATGTAGTGCAAGAGAGAAGAGTAAGGTGAATAAATGTATGCACTGTAAGACGGTTAGAATAAATCATGGACATGAATCAGTGCAACAGGACGCTAAAATATAACATTTTCAAGTTCATTCTGTTTCCAGGAAGGAGCTTCAATGCATGAATGTGAACACTTTACAGAGGTGAGAGGAATGTGTAACAACATGGTCTATTTCTGGCATCTGCTCCAATTCAGTGGGTTCTGTTTGTGATTTAGCCCTTTTAATTTCATGGTGGGTTTAACAAGCACAGAATGAGCAGATGTGCCAGGTGCTTGTCTCTTCTACTGAACCATCAGAAAGATTTGTTGCAGACTCTCAAATAGAACGGGAAGAGGCTCAGGGTATTATAACAAACTGATATTCAAATGGAAACAAGTCATTCCACCTTATTCAAGATTCAACTTCGATAATTCGATAAAGCATTCTTTTCTTGTAATTCTGACATAGTATTACAAATCTGAGAACAGAAATCTACCTATCTTAAAAGTTCTAAAATCACCTCATTTGCATTTTGAAAATTCTGAAACTTATTCTACTCATAAATATAACCTAGATCCAAAGCACGTAGTACTGACGTGTATTAACTAAAAGTTTTCATATACAAGGATGCTTACTTTTAATCCCTTATTATCACAAAGAAAAGGTTTTTCAGATCTCACGAATATGACCTATAAGTAAAGTATTAAAAACATTGTTGAACTTCAATCTATTCCGCATATACAATCACACGTGAACATGCCCATCACATTCAATTTTCAATATATTGTCTATATCTTCCTCCATCAACTAATAAACAACCGGTTTCAGTTCAAACGCGTTTCTCTGCACATCCGCTACGCGGCGTGATAATAGCATAGCAAAGAAGACAAAAAATTGAAGCAGAAGAACCATGGTGCCGTCATCGAAATCTAATGACATTATTAGGGCTGAATTACTATTGCAGGTGGCAGAACACTACACAATATCGGATACTTCATTACACCTCAATGTACGAAAACTGACATAGTTCTACATTTACAGTAGCGTACGTCTGCAACAGAAAAGAGGGCCAGATATAAATATACTAAACTCTTCAGGCTTAACTGGTTAAGCACACATTATGCCTACCGTCTATGCGCAAAGATTGTCTTCATGGATTAGCCCTAGTAGTCTGTTCCGATATACAGTATTGGTCTTTCCGTCTTTTATACGGCCTTTCCCTTCTGTCTATTTTGTGCAAACCGAAAAAGAATATTTTAAACAAACCACTTTCTTCTTATTCGTTGATAAGCCGGTGATATATAAATTATTCTGTCAAATATGTTCAACTCTTCTCTCATTGTCTGGTGTCGGTCGCTTTGGGTAAATTGCTATTTGCCCTCGTCAGCACAGTCATCCTCTGCTCCAAACCGCGCGGAATTCATTACCATATTTTGCTGCCAACGCAGTTCAGAATCATTTCAGCTAAGCCATGGTGTCTTTTCAGTTCAACATTTTGATTCACTACTGTGAGTACAACAATTACATTATAAACATACAAAGAATGTGTAGGATTTGAGGTTCCCACAGCTACGGTTATGAAGACTGTTATCTTCTGGCATATAACGCCGCGCAGTCTTTTGATTGTCAACCGACGTTTCGGAGGAACATATCTCGTCCATTTTCAGGGTCGAAAAATAAGCAGAGCAAGAAACCACTCTGTTTGCCACCTGCTTGGAAGTTGGTTTCTTACTCGGCTCATTTCTTTGTAGCAAACAGGATTTCAAGTTAAAACGTTTCTAAGAAGGAAGATTATGAATCAGTCTTCCTTCTACTTCATCACACACAGGTAACGCTGATTTTATGAAATGTACTTATACGTCCTAATACAAAGGCGATTAGAATTTGTGAATTAAGGTGCTAACCTCCATGTAAAGGAAGAATTATGATGTGCAGAGCAGAACCAAAACTAAATTCACCTGACAAGGAAAGAATCAGAAGTTCTTCCGACGGTGACTATGAAGAATCTGTCTTCAGGGTAAATCATGAAGAGGGAGGCAGCAGGTTCTTCCGAAAGTTTAGTAGCGATCTACCGGACTACATGACGTCATTTCTCAGAAGACAGTATTCTTCACCTGCCAAATTTAACCTTTCCAAAGGCCAAGTTATTCTGTGGAAACATTAGGATCTAAGAGAAAGGAAAAAAAAGTAAAGCTATCCCTGTACCAGGCCGCGAAGACCCATAGGGTTGTGAGACGTTGAGGGTCCCACATTATCTAGACAATCGGCTCAAAAATGGCGTTAAGGTTGTCAGCCTTACGCGCCGGCCGTGCTTTGCTCCCCAGGAAAATTATTTAATTAATTCCTGGTACTCATTTCTGTTAGAGGCTGTTATGCCACCTGTTATGCCGTGGTGACAGGGGGGTGTGGAGGTATCCCCGCTGTCACCTTATGTACTGCAGTCACAGGGGGTGGGCTAAGGAAACGACTGAATTACTTCCTCTATCGTTGCTTCATTGGCTAGGGGCACACTGTTCACCGGGCTTGGCTGGAGGGCGCAGGTGCGAAATGTGGTAAGGGAGGAAATCACATTAACAGAAACCCACATCCTCACCCTATGCTACCCTATATTAGTATAAACAGTCAACATGCAGTTATATATATTTTAGTAATATCACAATTAAATAGTTGACTGGTGTCGGATTACACATTGCACCTTTCTTAAACGATTCTTGGACCTCATCTTTCTCTTACTTTCATTCAGTTGTGGGTCACTAGTCCCCTCTTTCTCCTATTCAACTCATCCACTATATATATNTCGGCCGCAAATGAGCCAAAATTACTGTCTGAATCATCTCGATAATAATTTGCACTCCGGGTTATATACTTTTATTCATGCTAACTCAATACTTTCCCGGGGGCTGTAAGTTCCGCCTCTAATGACGTCTTATCCCAAGGTGGCGGCTCCCGTTGGCTGGGATCCGTAGGGATGGATACGCCCCTTGTCTGCTACACCATTTGGCTAACACTTTTACCTGCAAACGTTCCCCCATCTTTCTCAAGTGTAGATTCTGCAAAGTTAGCATTTCGAAGTACCTTGAACGTCATTCTGCTGACAAGACATCGACGCGTCAAAGGCTAACGTCCGTCCAACTCCATACGCAGAAAGCCCTTAAAGTTTCTTAACCCTTCTTACATCCTCTTTCGTACGTCTTAGAAGTATTTCCCAAAACTAATTCTATCCTAACCAACATTTTCCCCTAAAATAAAAAAAAAGTTAAATACTCTTTTAACATGTTACCGGGAGTCGGCCTTCAGGGCACAACAGAGGCTGAGTAAATCCCAGGGCCTAGTGCGGCTGGAAGGATTAGGTCAACTGAAAAAGAAGTTCAATGACCTCATCGGGATTTGAGCCCAAATTGGGGAAATACTTTCCTAGCGAATTTCTTGCGGAGAACTGAAGCGGCAGTGACGGGGAAGGACATATCTGAGCTTGGAGTCACTAGGAACAATTTAGATTAAGGCGTAAAACATACGCTATGTACCAACAATAATGAAAGGATTAGGAGTGGACCGCAAGCCACAGCTTAAGTATCTACACTGCCTTTAAACTGGCCAAACAGCCTCCTTCGAAATCCTTACACCCTACCTAATCATCAATCATGGCCATTTACAGTAGGCCTTCATCATCCAAAACTATATAACGTACGCAGATGGGGAACAACACTGATAAACAACATACCAATCAACCATTACCAAATATCAAAGAAATTCTTTCAACAGCTGTTAGCATATCAGGGTGTCCGGATGAAACGTATCCAAAATAAAAAATGTATATCTCGGAAACTTATTGTCATACACGTATCCGATACCCGGCTTACGCGCATGCGCCTCCACATTTTTGCCTCCATGTTAGGAATCACCTGGACAGAGAGATGGCTGGGATATGAATTGGCAGAGATGAACCAATCGCTTGGTTTCCTAGATCGCCAGATTTACCTCCAGTGGATTTTTCTTGTGGGGTTATGTGAAGAACATTGTCTACCAGGTTAAGATCAACGACCTGGAACACCTGAAAGCCCACATAAGAGATGCTGTGGCTACGGAAACACCAAACATGCTTCAAATATGGATATTTGTCGTGCAACCAAGGGAGCCCACATTTAAATTTATTGAGAAAGTTATATATGCAGAAAAAACTTTGATAGTTTCCCTTTGTAATGGTGTAACCCACCAATGTGTATAATAAATTCTTTCTGAGATATAATGATTTTATTTTGGATACCTTCCATCCGGACACACTGTACATGCGGAAGGGCAGACCTTACATCACTATTATGCGTTCAATTTATGCACTTCTTATAAAGGACGCACATCAAGTTCCTTGAATTCTGTTTAGCTGGGTTTCGAAACAAAAGCAATTACTTACGAGAAAGACATGAAGAATAAGTGGATGAGAACAAAATGATGCATTGACTTGTCAGTCTTCGGGCTGCATGAAACCTCTGACGGCGCCACTTATGTAACCCAGGGCTGTCCAGTCTTAATGACCTCGCGAGCTAAGACGCGCACGCACTTCTTGGGACTCTCTAGCAGCAGGACGTAAATTCGACTCTCGCTTTTGGCAGACATTTGCCCATATTTTTTCTGCATGAGTAAATGTCTTGCGGTCAATGGTCTGACCCTGCATCCAGTGAGTCCAGCAAGTGATATTTGTGGGGGAATTACAGTTTCAATATTGCAATAACTATATGAACCGGAATTCCTTAATCTTCCATGTGAACTAGAACAGGCCACTCAGCAAAGTGACTGGCTATAAACCTCATGAGTGGGGCATGATTACCAGTAGGGACGATTCTTCTCACTGCTAAACCATCCACGCCGGTTCTGTACACATGCAGCCTCCCATCCAGGAATTCTTTCGCAGGTCCTAAATCCATGGGAGCATGATGCCCTTCCATCCATTGCTGAGGTCCAGAATGCGTGGAGATTCAGCTCAACGTCCTCCCTACGTCTTCGTGGCCTAGTGTTTAAGAACAGGACTAACCTTACCTTAGCTTCACACTCATTCTCTATACATGTCTTAACCACTTCTCTGTTCAACGACGGGCCCAGAAACCCGAATATTTGAGATGGAATTGTGGAAAACAAACGAGGAAGGATACACTGCTGAGATTTCATAACGTAGTAAATAAATCAACGTTACTGTGTGGCAACGAATGCTGGACTCTGGGATAAAAAGAAACAGGAGAAAGGCGTACTAAGACGACACAACTGAGATTCCTAAGACCATTAGATCCAGGAACAATAAGAGACCACGTACGGCATGAAAAAGTTAGGGTAGGTAGTACGATCCACGAAACTGGAAACCACTGTCACAGATGGAAGGAACATGAGCAGCCTATGCCAGCAGACACGGAGCAGCAAGCAGAGATTAGTAGCGCAATGGAATATAGCCCCGATGACCAAGGAGCGTGGGAAGACCGAGGGGAAAAATGTAAGGACGAATTACCTTCTTTGCTTCGGAACCGGGAATATTCTATCCTCACCTTGTGAGGAGGAAGAAGAACAAGACAAGAACGAAGTAACTGATAAGATGAGAACGTTTAATTTTCTGACAAGCCGTAACGTATTGAGGGAGAGGCACAGAATATAAAGCATTAAGTTTAAAACCGCATGAATCAAACACACACCCTCCCATTCCATTTATTTAAGATATATTTTAATATTATCACAACGTTTCCGCATGGTTTTTCCAAATGGGGTCTTCCCTTCAGATTTCTCGACAAAAATGTTCACATTTCTTACCACATCGATGCGTGCTACATACACCGTCCAACTCACTCTCCTTGATTTCATTATTCTAATAGG